TGGTTGAGGTATTTCATCGGACTTATCAACTAACTACAATCCCCACCACCACCACCACCACCACCACCATCACCAGCACCACCACCGCTCTAACCCCGACCAGAACCGTAATCTCCTGAATGTGATTAGATTTCAGCCCTAATTACATGTATCTTCTCGGATTTGAAAGCTAATTGTAGCTAATGTGATCGATGTTTCAGAAAAACAAGCCCCACTACGTTACACCAACATTCTTTCATGCTCGGCAACGCCATTACCGGTATTTGGTTGAAATCATTTCGAAGTGCGCTCCGCTTTCAAATATGGTCAAACAGAGCAGGGCGTGGTACAAAAAAAAATATTTCTCGGCTCGCTCATTGGGTTTCCCATAGCGTTACGAGGCTGGGCAATACGAGGTATGTGCTAATTACCACTTGTGAGAACCTGCCACCATTGTCCACACGAGACACTGAGTGGGCGAGATCATAGTGAGGGGTGTCACATTTTAAAATTTTGCTAATCATCACCGTGCCCCTTGAAATATGTATTACTTTCACTTCCATGACATCCATGTCATGATTTTTCACTAACTTCCACTAGTTTGGAAGATGTATAGCCATTCACGGTTGAAACAACATCAATGCGTATAAATACGTGTATTAAGTATTGTGGTGCAACTCTAAAGACAAAATTGTGACGTCAAAGATAAATTATAAAATGTTTACATATCTGGAGTTATTGACCCCACCCATCTCTACGCTTATATACATACAGTATATAGCTAGCTATTCGTAATATACTGCCAAAAGAGCGACGGACACATTTATGAAAATTAGGATGACGACAGAATTAACAATATATATATATATATATATATATATATATATATATATATATATATATATATATATATATATATATATATATATATATATATATATATCAGTAATTTTAATGAAAAAAAAGTACATTTATCTTAGTAATAGTGACACCTGTTGTTTAGTGTGATGAACCCCCACGGTTGGGTACAGGAGCATAGAAGTTTTTAATTAAAATTGT